GCAGAAGCAATAAAAAAATCAAACATCATCGCTAAACGCAACGCCGATCGACATCGCAGACCCGTTACTTATCAGCCCGACGACCTCGTTTTACTCGACACTCAGAACCTTCGCCTGCCCATCACTCCAAAACTTCGCCCCCGATATTGTGGGCCATTTCGCATCAGCCACATGATCACACCCGTCACCGCCCACCTCCTCCTCCCCGCTGACTGGTACGTCAGCCCGTCATTCCACGTCAGCCTACTTCGCCCTTACATCCCATCCACGAGCCAACTGCCACGAAATCGCCCAGCCAGCATGACACGTCCCCCAACCGAACCACTCATCACCCCTGAAAAAATCCTCAGCCACCGCGTCCGCGACCCTTGGGGAGCCCGAAGGATCGAGTTCCTAATTCGATGGAAGGACCGAACGCCCACAGAAGACAACTGGGTCCCCCTGGATAAAATTGACAACCACCCTGTCTTCACCGAGTATCTGCGAAGCCGAAATTTCCGCGACGTCCATGCGCTCTCGTAAGAGGGGCCTCCTTGGGGAAGGGGGTAGTGTAAGGAAATTCCCTTTTCCTTACTTCGCGTCCCTGCCCAGCGCGTACGTCACTGTAGCACCTCAGTCAGCACCGTTACCACTCGCGACCATCGCATTATTCATCATCCCGCCTTTTTCGCACATCGCATCCCGACCTCACGGCTCGGCTGGTAACCCGCGCTCCGGGCCTACGCTTCGACACTTTCCCAACCTCAGTCCCAGGCTCGACGCGCGACAACCACAGTCCATTACCGTTACCACTATTGTTTCGCTATATAATCCTTCGCTCATGCCTTCGCTCATTGTACTTTTGCTTCGATAGTGCAATTCTCGTTCGTTCACTCAATTGCACACGTAACACCAGCACACCAATTCGTCGCAGCGTTACAGAGAACCTCTGACCAGGGACACCTGACCCCGACTGACCAAGTTTCCGTTTCTCAGTTCCGTTTCAACTGAAGGGGTCAAAATGGACGAAACGTGTCCCAGAGAGGAAAAAACGGGAAAATGAAAAATGCTTGACAACCAGTCTGATGTAATATAAAAGTGTAAGGAATTTTTGGGTTGCGTAGCAACCTTATACATTTGGTTTCACTTTTTGGGGAACTGAACGTGAACAGTGATTTTTCCATGCCCGTTTGGGAAAAAAATTACTGTTCAACTTTTTAGTTGCCCCAAAAATGTGAAACCAACTGTAGCCAATAACTCCATAATCGTCGATAAGTACGGCGAATGGAACAATTGGTTGGACACGAACGTGTACAAATACCACATGCTGAAATCATGAACATTTCGAGGCAAACACTAAATCCATCAATGTTGCAACTGAGATTGATATGGTACGGAAAAGGCGAGCAAAGCTGCCCCACCGACGATGACAACCCCTGTTGCATACATGATGCATTTGGCACCACCCCAAAACAGACCCAAACGACAGCACACGAAACTTGTACAAAAACGAGAAACACCAGTTGTGAGCGCTTCGAAGCTAATGCTAGAATGCATCATTAATGCAACTGCGATTGATCTGGTATGGAAGAGGCAACCAAAGCTGCCCTACCAACGATCACAACCGCAATTGTATACACGGGGCACTTAGCACTCACCCCGAAACAGAGCCACACAACTACATAGCCTACATATATGCACACACATACGCAGAGAGAAAAACACGCAGAAACATACAGCTAATACTAAGCATGCAAGCATAGCCAATGAAGTTCACCAATTAATAAACCATCACTACCTTGTGTTGGGAACAATAAGTCTTAAGGCGCCTCTGTCGTGTCGAAACTCAGGACACTAGCGAAGCAGTCCAAATCGAAGCATCGCGAGTCAACCCTCGGAGGTTGGGGTAACCGCCTGGAGGTTACGCGAAGGTCAAAGGTCAGCGACCTTTGACTTGACCAATACAGCGCGACAGCAAGGACACACAACTGACTCGACATTGAGCAGTTGCCCGAGTCGCACTGTATCGAATCGCAACAGTAAAACGGTTTAAATCTATCTATTTGTATTCCTTGTACTTTTATATAAACCTTGTATTTGCTTGTTTAATCCAACTTACTTTGCTCTCACATACTAGTGCAAGGTGGTTCAACCACTCTGTATTACAACGCTTCCGCTATTACAATCCTACTCAGTCCTTAAACTCTACAAAGATCCTAGGGCTTCTCAGCCCAACACCTTGCCCCCCATTCCCCTCCCTCCCTCACTCTCTGATCTCCCTTAACCCTCCCTACACCCCTCCATCCCTCCTTCACTCATCTCCCTCCCACTCCCTCCCTCATCTCCCTTCTCAGCTCACGCGCCCTGCACAAAGCGAAAACAGAGAAGTTCACACACACACGGCCTGCACACAGCAAAAAACAGAGAAGCAAACACACACACGGCCTGCACACAGCAAAAAACAGAGAAGCAAACACACACACGGCCTGCACACAGAAAAAACAGAGAAGCAAACACACACACGGCCTGCACACAGCAAAAACAGAGAAGCAAACACACACACGGCCTGCACACAGCAAAAACAGAGAAGCAAACACCTTAGAAGCCGACACACTAAACACTAGTGCAGAAAGCGACACTCGTTTGCATAAGTAGTCCCAGCAGCCCAAGCACCAGCAGAATAGATGCTATTGCATATGCCCCAGCGCGCTCATAAAGCTCTCTTGTGCGTTCTCTTACGCACTCTCACGCACTATCTCATGCACTCTCTCACGCACTCTCTCACGCACTCTCTCACGCACTCTCTCACGCACTCTCTCACGCACTCTCTCACGCACTCTCTCACGCACTCTCTCACGCACTCTCTCACGCACTCCCTCACGCAGTCTCTCACGCGGTCTCTCACGCACTCTCTCTCGCACTCTCTCACGCACTCTCTCACGCACTCTCTCACGCACTCTCTCACGCACTCTCTCACGCACTCTCTCACGCACTCTCTCACGCACTCTCTCACGCACTCTCTCCCGCACTCTCTCACGCACTCTCTCACGCACTCTTACGCGCTCTCTCACGCACTCTCTCACGCACTCTCACGCACTCTCTCACGCGCTCTCTCACCCACTCTCTCACCCAATCTCTCACGCGCTCTCTCACCTGCTCTTTTAGGGCTCTCTCACGTGCTCCCACACGCTCTCACGAGCTCCCTCACTCGCTCTCTCACACTTTCTCTCACACGCTCCCTCACGTGCTCTCTCACACCCTCTCTTGATAAAGTTAGAACGAGAATGAAATGACTATGAACGAAGTGAGTACAAATAGGAAACCATAGTTGGGTTGTACCCCCTATGGGATACCCCACTATAGCCTACACAAATGAGTAAGCTATAATATTCTGACACACCCCCATAGGCAAAGTGGGGGAGAACAAGGGGTCACAAGACCAGTCAAGCAAAGCAAAGCAAAGCTCAGGGTGGATCACAAAGTCACCACACATTTCGAGCACAAGTTCAAAGGCCAGAAGGCCAGTTCACATGCAAGATCATATATAGAGATATACAAGAGGCAAGCAAGCAAGAGCAAGAGTATATATAGGTAAAAGTACAAGCAAGGTCAAGAAGTGAGCAAGTGAGGCAAGAGAGGTACAAGACCCAGCTGCGTGCAGCAGCGCTGATGATCACAAGGCGCAAGTGCCTTGGTGAAGACATCAGCAGTGTTGGCCTCAAAGGCCACGTACGCAAGTCGCAACTGTCCACGCTGCTGTAGCTCACGAGCAAGAAAGTAGCGGAGAGCAATGTGCTTTGTCCTGTGCTCCATTCGCTGCTCTCGACACAAGGCCAGCATGGCCTTGTTGTCTACGTACAGGACAGGAGGAGAACGAGGCGGCTCTCCAAGGTCGGTCAGCAGGTAGGTGAGCCAGCGAAGCTCCTGAGCATCCATAGCCCCGGCGTAGATCTCAGCCTCACAACTGGAGCCGAGAACAGAAGACGAGCGGGTAGCCCGCCACGAAACAGAGCCGGAACCAAGGCTGAAGGTGTAACCCTGTGACGACCGCTGCGTAGCCTGGTCGTCAGCCCAAGAAGCGTCCGCGTGCCCAGTGAGGACCACTGGACTGCGCCCTCCAAGCACTAGCCCCATGCCCGACGTACTGCACAAGTAGCGCAACACCCTCTTCGCTGCAGCCATGTGCTCTGGTCGGTGTCTCCCAGGAGCAACATAGCGTGCGAGAATGCTAAGAGGGTATGCAAGGTCAGGTCGTGTGCAGGTCATCAGGTACATGAGGCAGCCAAAAAGCTCTGCATACGGACCACTCGACTCTACGGACTCATCCGAAGGCAGAGCTGAGAGCGAGTGGCGAGTAGGCAGAGGAGTGGCCTGAGGCGAGGAGTACGTGAAGCCGAAGCGCTGAAGGACCTGCTGCACCATGTGTGACTGAGTCAGGGTAATGGTGCGGCGTGCTCTGTCCCGGGTGATCTGCAAGCCAAGGTAGCTGCGCAGTTCACCCAGGTCAGTGCACGTGTGTCTCTTCTGCAGCTCGGACTTCACGTAGGCAAGTCCAGCAGTGTCAGCTGTGGCAAAGACCAAGTCGTCGACGTACACGAGGATGTAGAATGGCGGCAGAGAGGTGTCGGTGCGCAGAAACAGCGACGGGTCGGCAGTAGAAGGAGCAAACCCAAGTGCCGCCAGCGTAGTCCTCAGTGTGTCGTGCCACTCACGTGGCGCCTGGCGGAGACCGTGGACTGGACGCCGGAGACTCCACTGGGTACCAGGAGGGAAAGACCCAGTGAAGCCAGGTGGGCGACGCAGCCAGATCTCCTCGTGCAGGCTGCCCTGCAAGAAAGCAGTGCTGAAGTCGAGAGAGTGCAGCTCGTAGTCACGGTGGGCAGCAACGTGCAGCAGTACCCGAAGAGTGGTCATCTTCGGGGTGGGGGAGAAGGTATGAAAGTAATCAACTCCCTGCCGCTGACTGAAGCCACGAGCCACGTAACGCGCCTTGAAGACAGGCGGAGAACCCGGCGGCCGCTTCACCCTGAAAATCCACATGCCACTAACTATGTTCGCCCCAGGAGGGGGAACAGCGTCAACGTAGGTGCCTGTGGACTTCCACGAAGCCATCTCTGCATCCATAGCTGCCTGCCACTGGGAGGAGTAGGGACCCTCTATCGCCTCCGCGTAAGAGCGCGGAGTCGGGATGTCTAGTGCATCTGGGTCTCCCTCAGGGGCGAGCAGTGCAGACGTGAGATGAGGTGAAGCGGCGGCCAGACACTGGACCTCCTCCTGCCTGTCCTCAAGGACGTCCGTGCCAAGGGCACACTCACCCTCGACGGACGGAGGACAGGCAGACTCAGACTCAGCGACAAGACTAGCAGCGTAGTCTAGACGACAGTGCGCAGCAAAGTCGACAAGCTCAGCGACAAGGGCAGACGCAGCAGAAGACTCGAAAGAAGGGTCAGTGACAGCAGTAGCAAGGAGACGCGTGACAGTAGGACTGGCAGCATGAAGAGAGTCCGACTCAGCACCCCCAGGCTCAGTACCCCCAGGCCCAGCACCCCCAGGCTCAGCACCCCCAGACTCCGCACCCCCAGGCTCAGCACCCCCAGGCTCAGCACCTCCAGTCCCAGCACCCCCAGGCTCAGCTCCCGCAGCAGCACCAGAGTCACCAGTGACCTCGACAGGCTCGACCGCGTCTACGTGGGACACACCTGAAGGGGCAGGACCCTGAGGGGGGAGGGGGTCTACCGGGGGGGGACCTGGTACCAAGAAGAGCGGGGGCGGGGGGAGGGACGGAGTGCGGTAGGGGAAGAGGCGGTAGTAGGGTACCGACTCGTCGAACGTGACGTCCTGGGAGGACAGAACACGTCGAGAGGTGGGGTGGTAGAACTGCCACCCAGGGGCGTCGGGGGGGAACCCCAGGAAGACGCAGGGAGCAGCGCGAGGGGATAGCTTGTCCGCAGACAAGGCGCGGACAAACGCCCGAGATCCCCAGACCCGGAACGCCGACGCATCGCCAACCTTCCCCGTCCACAGCAGGGCTGGGGAGGTCTCCGGCCTGGAGACCCTGGGGTGGAGGTTGATCTGATGCGCCGCGTACCTCACCGCAAACGGCCACAGAAAATGGGGGGCAGCCGCATGCATCATAGGCGTACGAGCGACGTCCATGACCATGCCAATGCGGCGCTCTGCAATCCCATTTTGCTGCGGTGAGTCCGAAAGCGTGAAGGTCTGGCGGATGCCTCGCGCACGTCAGAAGGCACGCAGAAGGCCAGAGGAGAACTCTCCACCTCTCTCCGAGTGCAGACGCAACACAGGAAAGTCCGAGCCAAAGCTCTGCCTGAGCCGGAGACGAGCTGCGCGGATCCAGTCGATCAGCACCTCAGTGACATCACCCTTGCTGCGCAAGGGGAAGACTGTGGTGTAACGCGAGTAGTCGTCAACCACCAACAGGAAGTAGCGCTCGTGACCGAGTCCACGGACGCGGGCAGGGCCCCACACGTCCATGTGAAGCGTCTGCAACGGGGCCTCTGTCGGAGGAAACTGGGAGGAGTGAGGGGCAGCACGCTGGCGCCCCTTGACACAGGGGACACAGGCAGGGCCAGGGCCCTGAGGAAGGGGAGGGAGGGACCGGGGGAGACCAGACACAAGAAGACGGGAGGCCATGCCTCTGAGCCGAAGCAGAGAGGGGTGGCCAAGGCGGTGGTGCCAGAGGAGAGTCTCGTGAGACAGACGGCGACACGAACAGGGGGCAGACTCAGGACCAGACCTGGACGCTGCAGCTAACACCTGACCAGACGAAGGGAGTCTACCAGACTCAGCACCGGGAGGAGAAGCAGTGGTCAGTGTGTACATGCTCGACCCTGGCTGACGTGTAAACGTAGCCAGGTGGCGACCTGTGCTAGCCTCTGTGCAGTGTGTCACCCGCTGACGAGCGGGAGTGAACTGGTGGACACCCACATCCTGTAGGTCAGCACCACTCACCAGGTTCGTAGAGAACGAGGGGAGGTAGAGACCAGTCAGGGTGCCAGAGGGAGCCGCCGGACTCGGGAGGACTGTGGAGAAACGAGACAGGACAGGACCCCCAGAGGGGCCAGCCAGGGACACCGCAACCGGTCGACTAAGCGGCGTGAGAGTGGTGCGGTCCCGAAAGAAGGAGCGAGACGCCCCAGAGTCAAGGGTGAAGGTGTGAGAGGCCGAAGCCGACACAGTACCTGAGAGTGCAGACTCACTAGTACCTGGGAGCACAGACGCACTGGCACCTAGAGCAGCAGCCTCACTGGCACCTGACGCAGCAGTACCAATGCCCGGGTCGGGCGGGAAACACCGGTAACAGTCACCCTCATCACTAATAGTCACAGCATACATGGCAGCAAGGATAGCATCAAAGTCAAGATCAAAGATGGCTACACCAGCCCTAGACAGCTCTCCCCAGCGGGGGATCTCAGAGGCCTCCGGAAACTGCTGGCGCCAAGCGTCGGTCAAGCGGGCAAAGCAGCGGCGGGCGGTGTGGGTGCCCCCACACTGCTCACCCGCGCGGTCGCCGGTGCGAAGGACGTAGGTGCAGGGACCGAACGCCCCACCACGTTGACGCTGCGAGTACCACTCACGGAGCTGCTGAGGGGCGGGGACGTCGCGAGAGCGCTGCTGCTGCTGCTGCTGGCGCTGACCACCCCCAGTGCTGCTCCGCTGGGACGAGCCACTCCGACCACCTCCACCACCGCCACCCCCGCCTCCGCCGCCACCGCCGCCACCGCCACCCTCGCCCCCGCCGCTCCCACCGCCACCTGCACCGCCACCTACGCCGCCACCTCCGCCTCCACTGCCGCCACTAGTACCTCCACCCCCGCCACCACCTCCACCGCCACCCCCACTCCCCCCGCCGCCCCCACCTCCTCCGCACCGCCCCCGCTAGCTCCACCCGCTCCCTTGCCCCCCTTGCCCTTGCCAGAGCGGCGCCTACCGCTGGGGGCAGACGCCGCACCGACCGACTCTAGACCAACGAGGTCGGCCGCAGCAGCAGAGGCGACAGAGGGTAACAGGGGGGAAGGAGAACACCCCTCAAAGATGGGGGTGCGGGGGTCACCACGAGAGGCCCCTACAGCGACTATGCTTTTCTCGGCCGCTAGCAGGGACTTCTCGAGGAGGTCGACAGTGAGGGTGGTGGGGCAGACAGAGAGAAACTGGTCCCTAACAGCACGAAGGGACTCAGGGAGACGGGTGACTAGAAAGTAGAGGGTGATGTACATGGGAGGGGGGTTTTCGGCGCAGAAGGCAGCAGGAAGCGCAACTCGGTAGCGAGTGTCACTAGCGCGAAGGTGGGTAAAGAGGTCAGCGACTGTAGGAAAGGCAGCAAGGTCAGGGAAGAGGTACGGTAGCATGAGGCGGCTCAGTGTAGCAGAGGAAGGGGAGGAGTAGTGCGCAACTACAGCGTCGTACAAGGCCTGAGCGGTCTTGCACTGACTAAAGTGTGCGCGCTCGGAGGAAGGGAGGTGGTGACGCACAGCAAGACGTGCAGCAGCATCGAGTGAGGCCCACTTGGAGCGCACAGTGGGGTCAGCATCAGCAGGAGGGGCAGGTACAGCGCCAGAGACAAAGTCAAAGAGAGAAACTTCATCTACCGTATCGCAAAGCAAGTACAGCTGCAGGTCGTCGACCCAGACCGCAAAGTCAATGGCGCGACCCTCAGCGTCAAAAGCCAGGACACTGGGGGTGGCCATGATAGCAGCTGACAGTCTCACCGGACAGGAAGGGTCGGGTCGCTCAGCAGCACAGCAACACAGCAGCACACCAACTCCGCCGGCCCAGGAGCAGTAGCAGCTCCACAGGAGCAGGAGCTCGGCACCTCAGACGGCTCGGGCGGCTCGGGCGGCTCGGGCGGCTCGGGCGGCTCGGGCGGCTAGGGCGGCTTGGGCACGCAGCAGCACAGGCGGCTCGGGCGGCTCTGCTGCTCGGGCGGCTCGTGCGGCTCGGGTGACGCTGGGGCTCACGGGCGGCGCGGGCGTCGTGGCGGGCGGCTCACGGGCGGCTCGCGGGCAGCTCACGGGCGGCTGCACGGGCGGCTGGGGCGGCTCACGGGCGGCTCGTGGGGTTGCTGCACGGACGGCTGCACGGGCGGCTGCACGGGCGGTTGCACGGGCGGTGCACGGGCGGCTCACGGGCGGCTGCACGGGTGGCGCGTCGGGCGGCAGCACGGGCGGTTGCACGGGCGGCTGCACGGGCGATTCAAGGGCGGCTGCACGGACGGCTGTACGGGCGGCTGCACGGGCGGCGCGTTGGGCTGCTGAGGGCGACGCACGGGCAGCCCACGGGCGGCTAGCGGGCGTCGGGCAGCGCGCAGGCGACGGGCGGCTAGTGGGCGCCGGGCGGCTAGCGGGCGTCGTGCGGCTAGCGGGCGTCGGGCGGCTGGCGCGTCGGGCGGCTAGCTCACGGGCGGCTCTGGGTGGCGCACGGGCGGCTCTGGGCAGCGCGCGGGCGCTAGGGCGCTAGGGCGGGCAGCGGGTCGTGAGAGCGCTAGGGCGCGAGGGCGGGCAGCGCGCGGGCGCTAGGGCGCTAGGGCGCGAGGGCGGGCAGCGGGGCGCGGGCGCTAAGGCGGCGCTCGGGCTGCTAAGGCGGGCGGCGCGCTAAGGCGGCGCTCGGGCCGTAGGGCAGATCGAAAAAAAAAAAGTAAGAGCAAGGGCACGGAGCGCGCTCCGGGCAGAAAAAAAAGCTCGGTGTGGTGGGCCCTAAGCACAGTTCCCACGGGGGAACCTGCTCGATACCATGATGAAGTTAGAACGAGAATGAAATGACTATGAACGAAGTGAGTACAAATAGGAAACCATAGTTGGGTTGTACCCCCTATGGGATACCCCACTATAGCCTACACAAATGAGTAAGCTATAATATTCTGACATCTCTCACGTGCGCTCTCACGCACGCTTTCACGCTTCTCTCACTCACTCTCTCACGCGCTCTCTCCACGCTCTCTCGCGCGCTCTCTCACGCGCACTCTCACGCGTTCTCTCACGCTCTCTCTCACGCGCTCTCTCACGCACGCTTTCACGCACGCTTTAACGCGTCTCTCACGCACTCTCTCATGCGCCCTCTCACGCGCTCTATCACACGCACTCTCACGCGCTCTCTCACGCGCTCTCTCACTCGCTCTCTCACGCGCCCTCTCATGCTCTTTCTCATGCTCTCTCTCACGCGCTCCCTCTCGCGCTCCCTCACGCGAACTCTCATGCGCTCTCACGCACTCTCTCACGCTCTCTCTCACGCGCTCTCTCACGCACTCTCACGCGCTCTATCACGCACTCTCTCACGCGCTCTCGCACGCGCTCCCTCACGCGCTCTCTCACGCGCTCTCTCACGCGCCCTCTCATGCTCTTTCTCATGCTCTCTCTCACGCGCTCCCTCTCGCGCTACCTCACGCGAACTCTCATCCGCTCTCACACACTCTCTCACGCTCTCTCTCACGCGCTCCCTCACGCACTCTCACGCGCTCTCTCACGCACTCTCTCACGCGCTCTCGGACGCGCTCCCTCACGCACTCTCTCACGCGCTCTCTCACGCGCTCCCTCACGTGCTCTCTCACGCGCTCTCTCATGCGCCCTCTCACGCGCACTCTCATGCACTCTCTCACGCGTCTCACGCACTCTCTCATGCGCCCTCTCACGCGCTCTATCACACGCACTCTCACGCGCTCTCACACGCGCTCTCTCACTCGCTCTCTCACGCGCTCTCTCACGCGCTCTCTCACGCGCCCTCTCATGCTCTTTCTCATGCTCTCTCTCACACGCTCCCTCTCGCGCTCCCTCACGCAAACTCTCATGCGCTCTCACGCACTCTCTCACGCTCTCTCTCACACGCTCTCTCACGCACTCTCACGCGCTCTCTCACACACTCTCTCACGCGCTCTCGCACGCGCCCCCTCACGCGCTCTCTCACGCGCTCCCTCACGCGCTCTCTCACGCGCTCTCTCACGCGCCCTCTCATGCTCTTTCTCATGCTCTCTCCCACGCGCTCCCTCTCGCGCTCCCTCACGCGAACTCTCATGCGCTCTCACACACTCTCTCACGCTCTCTCTCACGCGCTCTCTCATGCACTCTCACGCGCTCTCTCACGCACTCTCTCATGCGCTCTCGCACGCGCTCCCTTACGCGCTCTCTCACGTGCTCTCTCATGCGCTCTCTCACGCGCTCTCTTACGCGCTCTCTCACGGGCTCTCTCACGCGCTCTCTCACGCGCTCTCTCACGCGCTCTCCCACGTGCTCCCTCATGTGCTCTCTCTCACGCACTCTCTCACGCGCTCTCTCATGTGCTCTCTCACGCGCACTCTCATGCACTCTCTCACGCGTCTCACGCACTCTCTCATGCGCCCTCTCACGCGCCCTCTCACGCGCACTCTCACGCGCTCTCACACGCGCTCTCTCACGCGCTCTCTCACGCGCTCTCTCACGCGCTCTCTCACGCGCCCTCTCATGCTCTTTCTCATGCTCTCTCTCACGCGCTCCCTCTCGCGCTCCCTCATGCGAACTCTCATGCGCTCTCACGCACTCTCTCACGCTCTCTCTCACGCGCTCTCTCACGCACTCTCACGCGCTCTCTCACGCACTCTCTCACGCGCTCTCGCACGCGCTCCCTTACGCGCTCTCTCACGCGCTCCCTCACGCGCTCTCTCACACGCTCTCTCACGCGCCCTCTCATGCTCTTTCTCATGCTCTCTCTCACGCGCTCCCTCTCGCGCTCCCTCACGCGAACTCTCATGCGCTCTCACACACTCTCTCATGCTCTCTCTCAAGCGCTCTCTCACGCACTCTCACGCGCTCTCTCACGCACTCTCTCACGCGCTCTCGCACGAGCACTGCAAGCACCTGGCACTCCACTGATATTTCGGACGGCAGAACGTACATCCTTGCAAAACGACGTCGCACGAGCACAGCAAGCACAATCTCAAGCACCTGGCACTCCAGTACATCCCGCACCACAGACATCGCAACATGGAAGCGTGGGGCAACCCGCGAGCGCGGCCAGTGATGGCGTCGTCCGCCACGACGGAGGCGACGGCCACGGCACGACACACCCCGACGCGACAAATGCGGCAAGGAGTCAGCCTCGAGTCACGATTTCTGTGCCGGCCGGCGAATCAGCACTACCGACGCCGATGCCGCTGAAGCCGGAGCGTCCGCCATGCTTTGACCCGAGTCAACGGAGTGGTCCTACCGTTCAGGCGTGGTTATTCACGTTGAACGTCTTCTACGATGCCAACTACGTCTCGGAGGGTACGGCGAAGATTCGCTACACCGTGTCGTTGCTGCGAGGACCCACCATGGACTGGTGGCGTGTCATCGTCACGAAGCGGGTGGACTACGCGACTCTAACGACACGAGAAGGACAAACCAGACCATGGGCGTTGTCGTATTTCGTGGAGGTGCCCCAATATCGCACGTGGGACGCGCGGTGCGTAGGTTTGCGCGCTCGGCTTGAGCCAATTGCGGCTTCGATCGCGGCGCGACAGAAGCTCCGCACTTGGCGCCAACTCGGTTCCGTCCAGAACTGCACGAGGGGGTTTCTGGCGCTATGCGAGCAAGTGGGTTACATGCACGAGAGCGAGCGCATCGACCGCTACATCGGCGGCCTGAAGCAAGACATCGCTCAGGAAATCCAACTTGACTTCTTCTGCCGACCGAGACCGGGGTCCTACGGAAGCAACAAATGAGGATATTGGTCTTGTGGGACAAACGAGGGCGCTACGATACGTGCCGTCGCCGCGAATGCCGTTGCCACATCGTTCAAAGGGCGCTGCTTTGCGTACAATCGGCCTGGACACCGTAAGAGCGAATGCCCGGAAAACGCCAAGGGAAAGGGGGAAGCTGAGCAGCAGAAACAGACCACGCAGCAGGGAAACGCTGGGACTCAGTAGCAGACAGGCCCTCTACTGACAGGTCACGCCGCTCGCCCGACCCAACCGACCCTCACCGAGTGATTGTACCAGTTCACGTAATCGACCATACTCGGCCGAATAAGGAGGGTACTACGGTAGACAGCCCCATACTGCTTAGTGGGAAAATCGGGACAGACTTCGTTAAATCTTCGTAGATGGGAGAGCCAGCCACAGCCTCATCAAGACTGCCACAGCACAGAAACTGAAACTGCCACTAAACAGATGCTTACCTGAGATCGATGTAAGGCTGGTCGACGGCACGCCAGTGGCGATACGGGAACGCGTAGACCGGGTTCGAATTCGATGCGGGGGTAACTTCACGTTTAGCCAGGAAATGCTCACGACAACCCTCGACGGAACCGACATTTTACTCGGTCGTGATTGGCTGTGACGACACAATCCGCAAAACGATTGGACGACGGGTGACTGCATAGAGCTAGTAAATGGTAACAACATCGCCTTACCTCGCTGGGGCTTGCCTGAGTCTTCGTCGGTGCGTGTCAACGCAATCACGATGAAACGCGCCGTAGCGGTAGGAGCTGACGTGTACTCGGTTGACATTCGGGAAGCCGAGGCAGCAGACAAAGGGGGGGATTTACATAAACTGCTAGTCGACGTACCGAGTGATCTGGCAGCAATGTTGAAGCAGTACAGTGACATTTTTCCGAACGACCTACCGACAGGACTGCCACCTCAGCGACTGCAAGACCACAGGATAGAACTAGAACCGGGGGCACAGCCGACAGTACAGCGACAGTTCCGACTGACCCAACCCGAACTGGACGAACTGAGGAAGTAGCTGGATTACCTGCTCGAAAAGGAGTTCATTCGCCCGAGTTCGTCACCCTTCGCAGCACCGATACTATTCACCCTGAAGAAGGACGGGACGTTTCGCATGTGCATAGATTACAGAGCACTGAACAGGGTTACCATTAAATCCCGATACCCCATCCCGCGAGCCGAAGAACTGATCGACCAACTGCGTACAGCCCCAGTTTTTTTCGAAAATTGACCTTCGAGGAGGTTACCACCAGATTCGCGTCAACCCACCCGACTGCCCCAAGACATCCTTCCGAACACGCTACGGATCCTTCGAATACACAGTCATGCCCTTCGGACTGACCAACGCCCCCGCCACTTGTCAAATGACCATGAACGAAGCTTTCCGCCCACTCTTAGATAAGTGCGTCATCGTGTATCTCGACGACATACTGATTTACAGCCCTGACACTTACAGGACATCGAAGCCATTTTTAAAATACTGGGTGAGAACCGCCTACTGACTAAGTGTGAGTTCTTACAGGAGCGACTGGAGTTTTTGGGACACTTGGTTTCAGCTAAAGGAGTGGAAATAGACCCGAAGAATATCGCGACGATTCAAGCATGGCATGCGCCGACAAACTTGACCGAGTTGCAGATTTTTCTGGGGTTCGTCAACTACGTGCGACGGTTCGTCCCCGACATGGCAAAGTTGACTGTCCCGTTGACCGTTGTGCTGAGGAAGGGGGTTGAGTACACGTGGGGGGAGAAAGAGCAAGCTGCCTTCTCGGCCCTCAAAACAATTTTGTGCTCGCCACCCGTGCTCCACATCGCAGATCCGCACCGTCCGTTCGAGCTCATCACCGACGCTAGCGACATCGCTGTGGGAGCAGTACTATTGCAGGACTTCGGGAACGGCCTCCAGCCAATCGCGTACGAGTTCCGTAAGCTTCACCCACCCGAACGCAAGTACCTGATACACGACCGCGAGATGCTGGCGATCGTGCACGCGTTCAAGGTGTGGCGATGTTACCTCACGGGAGCAGACGTGACAGTACGGACAGACCACGGATCACTACAGTACCTTCGCGCCCAACCGAATCTCAACCCACGACAGATCCGCTGGTTGGACTATCTGGAGTCCAACTTCCACTACACGGTCACGTACAAAAAAGGCGCATCCAACATCGCCGACGCACTCACACGCTCCACCGCCCAACTCCACGCCATCCTACTCGCCCAAACCAACCCACTGGTAACAGGCCTATTCACCCACGGATACAGTACCGACCCATTTTTCACGACCGGAAATTCACAGCAACTGGCAGAAGCTAAAGGAGTCCATTACGTAAAAACAGGCACCAACCACATCTGGGTACCCGCGTAGTCACTACTGAGGGAACTATTACTGCAGGAAGCACACGATGGGATTGCCTCGGGACATTTTGGGGTAGAAAAAACGTGACAGCAACTGCAGCGGTATTACTACTGGCCGGAGCCGTTGACCGACGTACAGCACCACGTGGGCTCGCGTCCTCCGTGTCAGGTGATGAAGAGCTCGCGAAAAAGAAAGGCGGGTCAATTGCAGCCGATTCCACCGTCTGAGCGCGCCTGGCAGCAGGTTATATGGATTTCGTCACGGGGTTACCTTCAAACCCTGGGGGTAACGACGCGGTTATGGTCGTCGTTGACAGACTGACGAAGATGTCAGAATGAACAAGAGTGATTGAACTAGGAAAGAGTTGGGTACAAGTAGGAAACCCTAAACTTACTGTACCCCATAGTAACTACCCCACTACAGCCTAAACAAACTGCTGCAGATATGACATTTGACACACCCCTATAGGCAAAGTGGGGGAGAGCAAGGGGTCACAAGACCAGTCAAGAAAGGCAAAGCAAGCTCAGGGTGGATCACAACGTCACCACACACACTGAGCACAAGCAAAGGGCCACAAGGCCAGTTCACATGCAGAGGCATATATGCAACACAAACATCACAATGATCTCTACCTAGAAAAGCAAGCATGTAGGTATATATACATGGATCACAATACAAGCAAAGCCTACAGCAAGTGAGGAAAAGTGGGCACAAGCCCTAACATAGTGCAGAAACGCTGATGATCACCAGACTGAAGTGCCTTGGTGAATATATCAGCAGTGTTGGCCCGAGTGGCCACGTAACGCAGACGAAGTTGACCACGCTGCTGCAAATCTCGAGCCAGGAAGTAACGTAGAGCGATGTGCTTCGTTCTGTGCTCTAGTTTGTGATCCTCATACAAGGCAATGGTAGCCTTGTTGTCGACGTACGGCACTGGAGGAGAACGAGGCCGCTCTCCCAAGTCAGTCAGCAGGTAGGTGAGCCAGCGTAACTCCTGTGCAGCCATGGCTGTGGTGTAAATCTCAGCCTCACAACTGGAGCTGAGAACTGAAGACGAGCGTGTAGAACGCCAAGAAACTAAACCAGAGCCAAGGCTGAAGGTGTAACCCTGTGACGACTGCTGAGTAGCCTGGTCGTCAACCCAAGAAGCGTCCGAGTGCCCAGTGAGGACAACTGAGCTCCTCCCTCCAAGCACAAGTCCCATGCCTGATGTACTGCACAAGTAGCGCAGTACTCTCTTAGCAGCATCCATGTGCACCTTTCGGTGCCGACCAGGAGCCACGTAGCGAGCCAGGAGGCCAAGAGGGGACGTGAGGTCAGGACGAGTGCAAGTCATCAGGTACATGAGACAGCCAACTAGCTCTGGGTAAGGACCACTCGACTCTACAGACTCGTCCAAAGGTGGAGCTGAGAGCGAGTGACCTGTAGCCAGAGGAGTGGCCTGTGCCGAGGACCAGGTAAAGCCGAAGCGCTGAAGGACCTGCTGCACCATGTGTGACTGAATCAGTGTGATGGTGCGGCGTGCTCTGTCCCGGGTGATCTGCAAGCCAAGGTAGCTGCGGAGTTCACCCAGGTCTGTACACGTGTGTCTCTTCTACAGCTCCGACTTCACCAGGGCGATAGCCTCTGTGTCAGCAGTTGCAAAGACCAAGTCGTCGACGTACACGAGGATGTAAAATGGCGGCAGCGAAGTGTCGGTGCGCAGAAACAGCGACGGGTCAGCAGTAGAAGGCGCAAACCCAAGAGCTGCAAGCGTAGTCCTCAGTGTGTCGTGCCACTCACGTGGCGCCTGGCGGAGACCGTAGACTGGCCGCCGGAGGCTCCAGGAGGGAATGACCCAGTTAAGCCAGGAGGGCTGCGCAGCCAGATCTCCTCGTGCAGGCTGCCCTGCAAGAAAGCTGTGCTGAAGTCAAGAGAGTGAAGCTCGTAGTCACGCTGAGCGGCAACGTGCAGTAG